TATTGTTCATGGTAATACGAACACTAATAATAAGAGGAGGAGGAAGAGGAGGAGGAGGATGATAATGAAGTAGGAGGATGCAGGAGGAGGAGGAGGAGAGAACGGAGGAGGAGGAGGTGGATGAGAAGGAGGAGGAAGGGTGGCGGAGGGGTGGAGGAGGATGAGGGGGAAGAGGAGAAGGAGGAGGATGAATACGGAGGAGGAGGAGGAGGAAGATGATGATGATGAGGAGGAGGAGGATGAGGAGGAGGAGGAGGAGGAGGAGGAACAGGAGGAGGAGGAGGAAGAGGAGGAGGAGGAGGAGGAGGAGGAGGAGGTGGAGGAGGAGGAGGAGGAAGAGGAGGAGGAGGAGGAGGAGGAGGAGCAGGGTGGCGGACTGGCCTGGGAACGCGCACGCATCCCACCCCCTCATCAAGATGGGAGTGGGACGCTCATCTGCGCGCTCGCGCTGCCCGCATCCCAGACCCCCAACACAGTCGGCGTTTGCGCCAGGGAAAATCTCCTTGTCTCTACCCCGACACGGCGCCCTACAAAGGGGGGAAGTTGCATGCGCCGCATCGGTGGGCGTCTCGCTCCGCGACTGTTTGGCGAGGGTCTCGCCCCTCGACTGGGGATGGCGTGTCGGCGGGAGCCTCGCTCCGAGATTGGGGGGGAGCCTCGCTCCGCGACTGGGGTGGCGCCTCACTGCGCGACTCCTCGCTGCGCGACTGGGCACCGTGCGCGCGGGCGGGAGCCGCCTCGCGGGGAGGCTGTTGTCGCGTTGTTGGGGGCCGCGCTCTGCGACAGGTGGCGCCTCGAGGCACTGGAGAGTGTGAAGTCCGCCGCGAAGCGCGCACGAGGGAGTTCTCTATGAGGCCTCAGGGAAATCCTGTGGATCACTGGGATGTTCTCGAGACTCCGCAGGGATTCTTGAGGACTCCTGCCAGCTTCTTTCGGATTCTGGAGAAACTTCTTGGGATTCCGGACGAATTCCAGAGAATGTCCGTAGGATGGCGGAGAGTAAATGTTCGCATGGTTGATTTGTCATTGGGGTTGTTGAGTATTGGGCAGTAGCGATGCGCGAAGATTTTTTCGCATTGCTGGGGACATTGTCAGGACATGCTTAGGACTGCTGGCGATTCCTGAGGGGTCTTCTGTGCGGGGATCCAAGTTGGGGGGCCACGTGGAGCACCTTTGGCGCCTCCCAGGGCCGTACCGCGAGCGGAGGGTGGGGATATTCCATTTGTGCTGCGCACAACTCGAAGGGAAGCGCAGCCTGCCGCCTCGTGTCGCGTGAAGGCGGGGGAGCTTAACCTCGCCCGCCTTCACCACCAGTCCGTCCTCCCCGCCAGTCCCTTCCTTCCTCTTCCTTCTGTTCCTCCGTCTCCAGAGACCTGCGATCTTCGCGGATCCCAGGTGGCCTATTTCGTTCAGCCTCCCTTCTCCTTTCTCTCCGCCTCCTTCTCATTGTCGTTCTCCTTCTCGTTCTCCTTCTCCTTCTCTTTATCCTTCGTCTCCTTCCCCGCGTCTTTTTCCTCTCAGCTCGGACAGCGAAGTGAGAACATCACGTATGCAAGCACTATATGGGTGAACATACCTTCATCTGTAAGGACACATCGAGGCAATTTGAGTGCCCCCTTTGGTGCCAGAGGGAATATGCCATGATCGGATCAGTGGAATACACCTTTGGATCAGTGAAGCGACGATCACACGAATGCCGGTGTTCTTAGGAGCACGTCCTCTGGGAGGAGTCTGTTTTCTCCTTCGCTTTTTGCCCGTGCTTCGTACCTCGCACCTGCTACTTTGAAGCTCGTGCAAGTCGCAGTTTGAGAGCCTGCAAGGTCATCGCGTGGGGCTTCTTCGTAGAGAAGCACTCATACCTGCGGGACCCGTGGAACTGGCTCGACTTCGTTGTTGTTATCTCAGCCCTTGTCGCGCCGATGGGAGAGGGGCCGCGGTCTATCTTCGCCTTCCTTTCGCGTTTTTCTGCCTCAGGCGACTCCCTTGAGCAGTGTCCCTTCTGGGAATACTTTCATTGTGCGGACTCGCTTCAAACACTGCTTCCAGTCCAGTCCAGTGCAGGCCAGTTCAGTCCAGTCCAGCCTATTCCAGTCCATCCCAGTCAAGTCCAGGCCATTCCAATTCAGCCCTGGCCTGTCCAGCCGAATCTGGCGCAGTCCTGGCCAACCAGCAGTTCGGCCCAGACAAGTCCAGTCCAGTCGAGCCAAGGCCAGTAACGCCCATTCCAATGGAGGGGAGGGGAGGAAGCCCAGACCTCCGACGACGCATCTGTTGCGAGTCGCTCAACAGGGCTGGCTCTTGCGCGCCGTGCTATGCCGCCCTTCAGTTCAGGTGGGGTGTCGGGAAACGCCGTGTGGACTAATGCTGTTTCTTACACTCAGCTCTGCGATACGAGGGGGTTTAAACGCACAGGGGCAGTTTTTCTTGGGGGGGGGAGGGAAGGACGTCAAAAACGGCGCGAGCGCACCGACCGTGTCCTCCTCTCCTTCATCTCATCTCA